AGCTGCTGACCCACCGGCTGGCTAGGTCGCTCTGTAAGTAAGACTTTTCCCTATTAAATACCCTTATATTTCTACCTGACTCTGTATTGGTAATTTCCCACTATAGAACCTTGTAATGGCCAGCACCTCATTGGCAGAAGCAAGTGGCAGGAGAGATCACAATGCAAAACACAAGCCAGAAGCTGGAATAAGGCCAGTTTTATCTTTCCACAACTCACTGTCAAATGATCACCTGGAGTTGTATCAGCACTGCATCAGGTCTCTTTTGAGAGAAGATTCTCCCAATAACCCAAACACCTTGGCAACCACTTAATAGTCATGTTGGAAATCAATGTTTCATCTGCTCATTCTTAAAAGAACAAAATAAACCCAAATCATATAACCTTTTAAAGTAGACTTAACAAATAGAAATCATTCAGACAAAAGCATAATTAGAACAGTCTAGAGAACAGAAATGACATATATTAAGTCATAAGAAGCTGGACAAAGTGTGATAGATATGACCAGTGGGTTTCTACACTGTCCTCATTTATCTGCTTACTTTTGTGACAAGAACTCTGTTATTTTAGATTCCAAATGCTCTGTATAGCATCTAACAGATCAATGTAAGATATTGAAGAAGAGAGAATTCTTTTTTTTGCAGATTTTTTTATTTGAATTAGAAGCAAATTGTTTTACATGTCAATCCCAGTTCCCTCTCCCTCCCCTCCTCCCCTACCACACCCCAACTAAAACCCTACCTATCACATATCCTTTCTGCTCCCCCTGGATGGTGAGGCCTTCCATAGGGTGTTATCAGAGTCTATCGGATCCTTTGAGATAGGGCCTAGGCCCACCCCACCCCCTGTGTGTCTTGGCTCAGAGAGTATTCCTCTATGTGGAATGGGCTCCCAAAGTCCACACCTATGCTAGGGATAAGTACTGAACAACTACAGGAGGCCCCATAAATTTCAGAGGTCTCCTCACTGAAACCCATGTTCCTGGTGTCTGGATCAGTCCCATGCTGGTATTCTAGCTATCAGTCTGGGGAGCAAGAGCTCCCTGATGTTCAGGTCAGCTGCAGAACACTAAACATTTTATAAATAGATTAGTCCTTAATGATCACTAATGAGTGCTAACATCATAGTACAAGAGACAAAACCAGATAGGTTACATCTTCAGAAGTACATGTGTCACTCAAGAAGTTTGTAAGAGTAAGTAAAACTGAAAAGGAACTTGAACCTGAATCACACCATGCCTCCTAGACCATATTACCAATTTATAACAAATATGAGGGCTGATCATGTAGAGAAAAACCATGGGCATGCTACAAGCAAAATCCAGACTGGGAAGTAAATAATAATAAAAAAAAATCTCAGTCTCTTCCACAGCAATAATCAGGAGAAAATCAAGGGGATTTACAAAGAGGTAAAGGGAAATTCTGCAGATTAAAGCATGAAAGGACATGTTAAATACAATGCTTGAACCTTTACATTATGATTAAAAGAAGTTTACATATGCACACATACAGTATATTTAACAGCAGAGAAATATTAGCATAGATTGTACATTGAACATTAAAGAATTGCTAGGGTTTTTGATTTTTTGTTTTGTTTGAGATTGGGACAATAACGCTGTGGTAGGTATTTGTACATGTGTCTTTATTTATTCTAAGAGTCTCTAGCTCAGGCTGGAGAGATGGTTCAGAGGCTACAAGCACTGGCTGCTCTTCCAGCGGTCCTGAGTTCAGTTCCCAGCAACCACATGGTGGCTCACAGCCATCTATAATGAGATCTGGTGCCCTTTTTTGGTGTGCAGACATACATGTGGGCAGAACACTACTGCAAACATAATAAATAAATAAATCTTTTTTTGAAAGAAAAAAAAAGAGTCCTTAGCTCTTAGCAATACATACTGAAATGATGGGATAGCTGTGATTTGCTTCACAACAATCTGGGTGGCAAGTGGGGATGACTAGAAAGACAGTAGAAGCCAGACTAGCCAAGATCTGATCACTGTCAAGGCTGAGTGATTCAAGTAACACCTCTACACCTGCCCAGAAGATTCCATAGCAAGGGGCCTCGGGAAGAAACAATGGTAGCTTCATATTGGAGCTATCTGAGCAAGTTTTTAGCTAGTCTTCTCTCAAAGAACAAGCACAGGGTGAGACTACAGATGCCAAGAAGCTCTAACTGCATCCAATTCACCTCCATTCCCTCTTTACTTCACCCTGTCTAATCTTGATTTCTTTCCTCACTTTGTATTAATTACTGTTTTCATTGTTGTAAAAGCAATACCTGGCAAAACAACTTAAAGGTTTATTTTTCCTTGTATGTTGTAGGTATACATTCCACTGGGACAGAAAAGCATCGCAGCAGGAGTTTGAAGTTACTAGTTAACTTGCTTCTTTTTCTTTTCCTTTGTATTCAATTTGGTACCCTAGTCATGGGATGCTGCCACTAAAATTCAAGATGGCTCTTCCATCCTCTGTTAAACCTCTAGAAACACCCTCACAGGCATATATAGAAGTGTGTCTCCTAGGAGATTCCTGATCAAGTCAACAGTGAAGATTAATCCCTCCCTGCACTCTTGCTATGTTAGTAAGAAATGGTATACAGATAGGACTTTAGACAATAGAAACCTCCAAATGAAGGCCACCTTGTAATCATTCACATGGTGCCTCATATCAGTCTCTGGAACTATCTCCTCTCATGGCTACCTCAGCTGTTCCATTATTAATGATATTATAGATCCAATCATAATTGATGTTGCTGCTAATGTGAACTGATGGGTTACCGCCAACTACTTACTGGCAGAATGTTTTTATAGCAGAGTTTGTTCTATGTTGGGATTGCTGCTAGAAGCTAGGATACAAAGAGAGGAAATAAAAGTTGACCTCTTTCAATGAATGAGTTGCGGTTCCTTATCACTCTTGCCTTCTTTGGACTGCAGGTATTTATCAAAGTGCTGGATAATAATGATAATGGCCCAGAATTCTCCCAGCCACATTACGATGTGACGATTTCTGAGGATGTGCTTCCGGATACAGAAATACTGCAGATTGAGGCCACAGACAGAGATGAGAAGCATAAGCTGAGCTACACCATCCACAGTAGCATCGATACCATGAGCATGAGGAAGTTCCGGATGGATCCCAGCACAGGCGTACTCTACACTGCTGAAAGGCTGGACCATGAGGCCCAGGACAAGCACATCCTCAACATAATGGTAGGACGAGACTCACAATTTTGCTTTCCCGACAGAACCATTAACCAGCCAAGGCATATACCTCAGTCTTCAGAAAGCCAGGGCCCTTAAATTCTATAAATCTAGCCTTTGTACTGTCAGGGTACATTAATTTTGCTTTTGTGTTTCAATGAAGAAGTTACTCTTCTTAGAAAGTCACTCCATAGTTTTTGTCAACCTCAAGTATTAGATAAATTCTGCAGATGTTGGCTGTTCAGGAAATGCTATTCACAGATGGGTTAGAGAGTAAAACCACAGCCAAAGTTTCCAACTCAAGGGTTTGTTCGGAGCCAGGAGATTGTGTGGGAAAGTTTGAAAGAAGCCCCTTAAGAAGTTCTTCACCTTCACGGGGTGGTCCTTTGCTCAACCCACAAGAAGTTCAATCCTTAGAAGTATTCAGAGACCCCATTTCTGATGTATTGGTGTTAGACCTACACGTAATACTGGTGACCCCAAAAGAACTGAACATGCATTAAATCTTCTGAAGTTCTTGGTTTTGAGTTCATTTACCTTCCTCCAAATTATATAGAAGTGGCTTTTTGTTTAAAGTGTGGTTTTTTTGTTAATCTATCCAATGGATATAAGATGAGTAAGAATTATCATTGATTCACTTATGGCCTATAATCTGTCCCTGAAACGAGCCCTAGAACAACATTGGCATGCACAGCCCCTGCCTCTCAAGGTCCCCATTATATTCCGGAAGAACAGGAAGGGTGACTGTGATGTAATCTGCACAGATTGAGTTTGGGATGCCTAAAATTATAAATTCCCAACTCATCCACAATAGTAACAACCTTTGCCTTCACTGGAATCTTCTTGGACAAGAGACAACTTGAGTGTCATGCCCTCAGCTACAGTTTCTACTTAAGACACCAGTAGACAGGAGACAGACGGGGCAGTTCCCAGAGGCCACCTGATTCACCACTATGGCCATTCATTCATTCATTCATTCATTCACAGATATTCTTGAGCACATATTGCACAAAAAGCACTCTCACAAACACTGAGATAAAGTCCTCATACTCTTGGGGCTAGTGTTCAATTCATTAAAAAAAAAAAAATCTCCAAATAGAGTTAGGTTATATCCTCGGGCATGGACAACCAAGCTATAGAATTTCAGCATAGCACACTGACCATGATGATGTTTACATGATATTTTAGCAACAGAAGCCTCACAGTGGTAAATAATCCCATTTTCATTGTTTTTCAAGTAATTTCTGTTCATCCTCCTTTACCACACTCAAAAATCAGTGATCACCCACTGTCATTCATCATTTATATGTAGTTAGATGCTTAGAACAAATGACTGCTTTCAGCCACCTTCTTCCAAGCCTCACTTGCTCATTTGTCCCATGTCCTAGTCATGAAAATTCCTTTCTTCTTGATAGACCCTCTTGTATGTGTTACAATGTCTTCCCATTTCTCTGGAATTAAACAGTGTAAAACTGAACAAGCCAAGGGTATTAATTCAACTAACGATACATCAACTAGAAATAGAGCCACATGGATAAACAATAGATTATTTATAAGCTTCTGCCCTATGCAATTCAGGGAAATTTTAAAGTCTGGCAACATCACACTGAGGGTACTTAGAAGTTATGACTGAAAGCATCTTTCTAGTGGTCAAGGTTCTCTAGTAGCTCTGGGCTCTGCCTGCCTGAAAATACACTCTTCACCATCACCATCATGTTATTCCTTCCATTCTTTCATTGTCACTTCATCCAGGGAGCTGAGTGTCACATTATATTCCTCTTCCTACTCACTGTGAGGGCCTTAAATATATTCCATGCTGGCATTTAACTGCTTGACATTATGCCTTTCTGTGACTTGCTTGTACCACCCCCTCAAAGATCCCAGTCTTCTTGAAGATATAGACTGTCTAGTTCATTAGGGAACCATTCTACTTACGCTATGAACCTGACATTATAAATAGTAGTAAATGTTAGTTGAATGAATGAATGAATGTAACAATACTGTATTTATTAATCCCATCCCTTAGAAGATTCTCTGTCTACCATTCCATGACTAAATATAAATACAAGGAAGAAGTGACTTTGGAAACCAAATGAGAGACCTGGGCTTGCGGTACCCAGGTGTTACATCACAGGCCAGGCATGGAGTGAAACAATAGACATGATGTTGCCTTGCTCTCAGGTGGCTCACAATCTCAATCTCTCCCTCTCAATTTCCCTCCCCACTTCTGTCTCTCTTCTGTAATACCACTGTTTGTTGAGTGCTTTGTAGCTGTGCAAGACTGGGTCACACACTTTGCATGCATTATCTCATTTTGTTTTCTCAACAAACAAAGCCATGTGAGTTCTTTGCAATTCAAGCTTTTAGTCCTACCGATTCTTATATTTTGCCTAAAGGTCAGAGATCAGGAATTTCCTTACCGAAGAAACTTGGCCAGAGTCATTGTGAACGTGGAGGATGCTAACGATCACAGCCCTTACTTTACCAGTCCACTGTATGAAGCATCGGTGTTCGAATCAGCTGCTCTGGGATCAGTTGTTCTGCAAGTGACAGCTCTGGACAAAGACAAAGGGGAAAATGCAGAGCTCATATATTCCATAGAAGCAGGTGAGAGCTGCAGAGACCTCAGCATAAAGTGTGACATCCCACCCTCAGCAGAGAGCCCACCCTATAAACTCAGCAACCCATTTGTGCAATGGTGTGTATAAAGTTCTTAGCATTTCAATATTGGCAGCAAGGGAAGAGCTTCCTTCCTTGAATTCAATCTTGGAGTTTTCTGAAATGAAGAAAAGAAGTGTGTAATGAGTTCAGTGGCTCAGACCCAGAAACCAACAACTCATGGACTCTTTCTAAAATAACCACAGTTGAGTTCACTTACCAGTGAGTGGGCTTCAGACTTCAGGAGTTCCGGCACACCCACCAGGAACACAAACACCTTGCCTAGGTTGGAGGCAATCTGAGCAACTGAGCAGTTGGTAGCTATGGAACCTGAACTGCTTGCTTAACCAGACAGATAAACAAATAAGAGCATGTGTGTTAAATCTTAGTGCTTTTCCAAGGATATTAACATTTGAAGAGCAGTTTATAGATGGTTTGAAGGTGGATAGCTAAAAATCATTGGGGACAGAGATGAGTGTCCAAGCAAGAAAATAAGACCATGAAACTAAAAATGATGAGTCTCCTTTATCTGTTCTGTGTCCCTCCCTCCGTTTTGCCATTTTTTAATATCCGTGCTTCACATTCCCCAGGCATGGTGCAGCATGTCTGTGCTGGGCAATGCCAAATGCACATTCTCTCCATGACAGCTAGGGGACAGCTTCCTGCCCTTCTCTTAAATGTAGAGCATTTGAGTGAACAGCCACATTAAAATAAGCATGGTAGGAAACTAGTTTAGGAGTAGAAATTTGAGAAAAAAGCAAAGCCAATAACATTATAAAAGCCCCTGTATCAAATGATAATCTAAAAACTACTTTTTAGATTAGGTGCCATATTTTAGACAGGTCAGTATTACCTTCCACACAGAAGATATTGCTCATTAATGGCCATGTGCCTACAGAGTTTTCCATTGTGTTACTGTTGGGGTTCCCATAGATCTAAACCTACTGAGAAACTGCTTTCTACTTCTTAGTTACCACAGAATATTGTTACTACTGCAATAAGTAATCTTTGACCCTCTATTTTACAAATAAGGAGACTAAGAAATGAATATTGGATATCACAAGAAGTATTTCCAGTCTGCCCATCCTCAGTGTTCTTCCTAAGGTTCCATCGAATCTTACCTTTCCCTTTCCTTGTTCTCATCTATATACATTAACTCATGTCACTGTAAACATTGGATGTAAGGCTTTATTTCCACCATTCTTATCATTTTATAGACATTTACCTGTTTATTATATTTATAAATTTTTTACTTTTATTCCTTGGACTTCACATGATTTTTAAACTAATATTTAGGGTCTCAAGAAACATATTAGTTACATTCCTGAGGAAACTGTTTCTCTCACATTTTGACCTCCATGACTGGAGCATGGAGCTCAGTCATTTCTTTGACAACTGACTAAAATACAAAAGAAAAGCTATTTCTTTAAAACATATTTTACATAGAAAACCTGAATCTCCAAAAGATTATAATTCCAGGAATGATAGATATCTCAAAAATAGCCTTTGATTGTATGCATAAGAGTCTAATGAGAATTATAGTGTGCATGACAAACCTGTCATAGTCATTCAGCCCTTCTAAAAACACAGCCTATCCCTGGATCTGTCTGTCCCTTATATACACACAACCTTATCCCAGGTCTGCCTGTCCTTCACACACACACACACACACACACACACACAGTCTGACCTTAGACCTGCCTGTGTGTCTCTCACACACACACACAGCCCAATCCCCTGGCCTGCCTGACCACCCCTGCCCCAAACACACACACCACAGGCCTGCCTGTCCCTCACACACAGCCCAACCCCCCCACACAAACTCAACCTGCCTGCCTGGCCTGGCCTGCCTGACTACACACACATACACACACACACACACACACACACACACACAGAGAGAAGAGAGAGAGAGAGAGAGAGAGAGAGAGAGAGAGAGAGAGAGAGAGAGAAAGAGAGAGCCTGACCTTAGACCTGCCTGTCTCTCTCTCTCACACACACACAGGCCCAATCCCCTGGCCTGACTGATCCCCACCGCCCCCCCCATACACACAGACACACACACACACACAGCCAGACCACGGGTCTGCCTGTCCCTCACACACAGCCCGACTTGGGACCTGCAGAGCCCTCACACAGCAGCTGAACAAGTGCCTTTTCAGGTGATGGAAACACAAGCAAGTGAGGGGTGGTTGTATAAAATGTTAGGTTTTATTGAACTTGTCTCACAAGCCTCAGATAAGCCAGATTTTATTCTGTTTACTGGTGGGCTATAAAATTCCCATTGTTTGCCTGGCCTCTAAAGTCACACTGAAGTTTTTTTCTTTGGGAGCACAGTGGGAGGCGTTGGGAGATGGCAGAACTTTGAGTCTTGTATAGGTTTGATGTTTGGTGCTAGTATTGTGTCTAATGCAGCAAAATAGAAGGCAACAAGGGTTAGAAACACTGGATCCTAAAATGCAGTAACCTGCCTCTCCTATTGGTCACTCTACAGTAATTATTGAGCCCTATGTTTGTGGCAGCCGCTGTGTTGTGTAACAGATAAGTAAGGGCAACACAGCTTCAGCCATGCTGCCAAAAGTCTCCAGGAGCCACATATTCCAAGAAAATTAGTAAGACATTAATTTCCCAAAGATTCATGAGTACAAGGGAAGAATAAGCAAATAGCTAATTCCAACGGAAGGTCAATATATTGAAGAGGGAAAGAGCAGAGAGGCCCAACTTGGACCTAATATGGGATCACAGCACCCTGGAAGGGTGTATCATGTGACTCCACAGTGATGGGACAGCAAGGGTGTGAAGGCCTGGAGTGAAAATATGCCTTAGCTTCACTCCTTCTGTAAAACTCTGTTGACCTAGAGTGAGGCAAGACTCACCTACTGGCTGTGAGGTAGGACACTAACATCGATCAACATGGGCATGATCTATTAGCATCCTTTGGTCAAAGCTGTGTGCCACTGTGTGCCACTGTGACATAGGTGCTGGGCTTACCCTTACTGAGCAGAAATGTTTCTACGATAAGCCCTCTTATTTCCCATGACAGACATGTCATAGCAACACCCATGCTTCCATTTCATAGGAGCTGTGCCTCCCATGTTTTTGGCTTCAAGGACAGTTTCAATGATCATCACTCTTCGGTTTCACCTGAAAGCTGTCTAGTGTGGAGTACACAGAATGACTACAGATTAGAGTAACAATCGTGCATTTCTTATGTCTGCTTTTACACCTGCATCTGTGCCTGTGTGTACTCACACAGTATAGGAATTGGATAAACAAAACAAAAGAATAGAGAAAGGGAAATCCTGAAGAAATACTTAAAACTTGCAAAGCAAGCAATGACTTGGAAGAATTCCCCACCTCACCAAAGTCATCTTTGGAGAAAGCCAGTTTTCATGTGAAAAAGTAGCCTGGATTCCACATCCAGAGTCTAATAATGCTACAACCTGAAACCGAGTGACTATGATGGTATTCTGAAGCTATTCCTACAGTGCTCTTTTTTAAAGATTAACATAGAAAATACAGCACTATTATAGTACTGATATAGGTTCATTCTATATTTACAGTTATGACATATATACATACACATAGGCAGATGTATTAGTGAAGATATATGCCAATCCCAGCTATCTCTCTTCTCATGGGTTCAGGAACAAGGAAACCCCATATATTCCAAGCAGAAGGGACTTTTCTGCAAGTTCTCTTATTTCCCAGTTCAAATATGTACACAGTGCTATATTGTTGCTAGTAATTTTATCCTGGATTGAGAAGCTACTGAATTGATATAATTTTATTAGGAATTATTTGAGTTGTTTCTCAATATCATAGAAAAATGCTCTCCTTTTGCTGTCAGAATGATTTGGAGAGAATATGAAGAGTTGCTCACTGCTGGCAGAATTGTAGGCAAGTGCCATAATAGAAAGGCCGAATCTCCACTGAAGGCTTTAATGACCCTTTTGTAACTCATTTCCTCATTGATCTCTGTGTTTTAGGGAACACAGGGAACACGTTTAAGATTGAACCAGTCCTGGGCATCATTACCATCTCCAAAGAGCCAGACATGACAGCCATGGGTCAGTTTGTCCTGTCAGTTAAAGCCACGGACCAAGGCTCTCCACCAATGTCTGCCACTGCAATTGTCCGCGTCTCCATCAGCATGTCTGATAACTCCCACCCCAAGTTCACACACAAAGACTATCAAGCTGAAGTAAATGAAAACGTTGATATTGGAACTTCTGTCATCCTGATCTCTGCAATCAGCCAGTCAACCCTCATTTATGAGGTCAAAGATGGAAACATCAATGGAGTCTTTACCATAAATCCATATTCTGGAGTCATCACCACTCGGAGAGCTCTGGATTATGAGCAGACCTCTGCCTATCAACTCATCATCCAGGCTACTAACATGGCAGGCATGGCTTCCAATGCCACCGTCAGCATTCAGATTGTGGATGAAAATGATAACCCTCCAGTGTTTCTCTCCTCTCAATACTCAGGCAGCCTGAGTGAGGCCGCCCCCATCAATAGCATTGTCAGCAGTCTAGACAACAGCCCATTGGTGATCCGAGCCACGGATGCTGACAGTAACCAAAATGCGTTACTGGTTTATCAGATTGTGGAGTCCACAGCCAAGAAGTTCTTCACAGTGGACTCCAGCACAGGGGCCATCAGAACAATCGCCAGTCTAGACCATGAAGCCATTGCACATTTCCATTTCCACGTGCATGTGAGAGACAGTGGGAGCCCCCAGCTGACTGCAGAGAGCCCTGTTGAAGTCAACATTGAGGTGATAGATGTGAATGACAACCCACCTGTGTTCACTCAGGCTGTGTTTGAGACTGTCTTACTTCTCCCCACCTATGTTGGTGTGGAGGTTCTGAAGGTGAGTGCCACAGACCCTGACTCTGAGGTACCCCCTGAACTGACATACAGCCTCATGGAAGGGGGTGTGGATCATTTTCTCATGGACCCAAATAGTGGAGTGCTCACCATAAAAGACAATAATCTCTCCAAAGATCATTACATGCTGATAGTCAAAGTATCTGATGGGAAGTTCTACAGTACCGCCATGGTCACTATCATGGTCAAAGAAGCCATGGACAGTGGCCTCCACTTCACACAAAGTTTTTATTCCACCTCCATCTCAGAGAACAGCACAAATATAACCAAAGTTGCTATTGTCAATGCAGTTGGAAACCGCCTTAATGAGCCCTTAAAATACAGCATCTTAAACCCAGGAAATAAATTCAAGATAAAATCTACCTCAGGAGTCATTCAGACCACAGGAGTACCCTTTGACCGCGAAGAACAGGAGTTATATGAGTTGGTGGTGGAAGCCAGCCGTGAGCTAGACCATTTGCGTGTGGCGAGGGTGGTAGTCAGGGTTAACATTGAAGATGTAAATGACAACTCTCCTGTCTTTGTGGGCCTCCCTTACTATGCTGCTGTGCAAGTCGATGCTGAGCCAGGGACTCTAATATACCGGGTGACAGCCATCGACAAAGATAAAGGTGCCAATGGAGAAGTGACCTACATCTTGCAGGATGACTATGGCCACTTTGAAATTAACCCTAATTCAGGGAATGTGATTTTAAAAGAAGCATTCAACTCAGACCTCTCCAACATTGATTATGGAGTCACCATCCTCGCCAAGGATGGTGGCAATCCATCTCTATCCAAATCAGTGGAACTTCCCATAACCATTGTTAACAAAGCAATGCCTGTGTTTGATAAGCCCTTCTATACAGCAACAATCAATGAAGATGTCACAATGAACACTCCCATTCTCAGTATCAATGCCACCAGCCCAGAAGGCCAAGGCATCATATACCTCATCATTGATGGGGATCCCTTCCAACAGTTTAACATTGACTTTGACACAGGGGTCCTGAAAGTCATTAGTCCTTTGGATTATGAAGTCACATCCGTTTACAAGTTGACGGTGCGAGCCAGTGATGCTCTTACAGGTGCCAGGGCTGAAGTCATTGTGGATGTGCTGGTGGATGACGTCAATGATAACCCTCCTGTTTTTGATCAACCCACTTACAACACAACACTATCTGAAGCATCTCTCATTGGAACCCCTGTTCTGCAACTTGTCTCAACAGATGCAGACTCAGGAAACAACAAGCTGGTGCATTATCAGATTGTCCAGGATACTTACAACAGCACAGATTACTTTCACATTGATAGCTCAAGTGGCTTAATCCTGACAGCAAGGATGCTAGACCATGAGCTGGTGCAACACTGCACCTTGAAAGTCACAGCAACTGATAATGGTTTTCCGTCCATGAGCAGTGAAGTCCTGGTTCATATCTATATTTCTGATGTCAATGACAACCCCCCAGTTTTTAATCAGCTCATTTATGAGTCCTATGTGAGTGAATTAGCCCCCAGAGGTCATTTTGTAACCTGTGTGCAAGCCTCAGATGCAGACAGCTCTGACTTTGACCGGTTGGAATACAGCATTTTATCCGGGAATGATCGTACCAGCTTTCTGATGGACAGCAAGAGTGGAGTCCTCACACTATCTAGCCACAGGAAGCAGCGCATGGAGCCTCTGTACAGTCTCAATGTGTCTGTGTCTGACGGGCTGTTTACAAACACTGCTCAGGTGCACATCAGAGTGCTTGGAGCAAACTTGTATAGCCCGGCCTTCTCACAAAGCACATATGTAGCTGAGGTAAGAGAGAATGCAGCTTCTGGGACAAAGGTCATTCATGTCCCAGCCACAGACGGGGATCCAGGAACATATGGACAGATCAGCTACTCCATCATCAATGACTTTGCCAAGGATCGATTCCTAATAGACAGCAATGGACAAATCATCACAACAGAAAGACTAGACCGCGAAAACCCGCTGGAAGGAGACATTAGCATTTATCTGCGGGCCCTGGATGGTGGTGGGAGAACGACATTCTGCACTGTGAGGGTGATTGTGGTGGATGAAAATGACAATGCCCCTCAGTTCATGACAGTGGAGTATAGGGCCAGCGTCAGGGCTGACGTAGGAAGGGGACACTTAGTCACTCAAGTTCAAGCTTTGGATCCAGATGATGGAGCAAATTCTAGGATTACATATTCTCTCTACAGTGAGGCCTCCGTCTCAGTGGCTGACCTCTTGGAAATTGATCCTGATAATGGCTGGATGGTGACCAAGGGCAATTTTAACCAACTAAAAAATACAGTTCTGTCCTTCTTCGTGAAGGCAGTAGACGGTGGCATCCCAGTCAGGCACTCCCTCATTCCTGTCTACATCCATGTCCTGCCCCCTGAAACATTCCTGCCTTCATTCACCCAGTCACAGTACTCCTTTACCATTGCAGAAGATACAGCCATTGGAAGCACAGTGGACACCCTGAGGATTCTGCCCAATCAGAGTGTTCGGTTCAGCATGGTTAATGGAGAACGTCCAGAGAATAACAAAGAGGGTGTCTTTATCATAGAACAAGAGACAGGTGCAATCAAGCTGGACAAGCGCCTTGACCATGAAGTTAGCCCAGCTTTCCACTTCAAAGTAGCAGCTACTATACCCCTGGACAAGGTGGACATCGTATTCACTGTGGATGTAGATGTCAAGGTATTGGATCTGAATGACAACAAGCCAGTCTTTGAAACATCAAGCTACGAGACAATCATAATGGAGGGGATGCCTGTCGGCACGAAGCTTGCCCAGGTGAGAGCCATAGACATGGACTGGGGAGCCAATGGGCAGGTCACTTACTCCCTACACTCAGATTCCCATCTCGAAAAGGTAATGGAAGCATTCGATATTGACAGCAACACAGGATGGATCAGTACACTGAAGGACCTGGACCATGAGACAGACCCTGCCTTCTCCTTCTCTGTGGTGGCTTCTGACCTGGGAGAGGCTTTCTCTCTTTCTTCCATGGCTCTGGTCTCAGTCAAGGTGACAGATATAAATGACAATGCACCAGTCTTTGCTCATGAGGTGTACCGAGGAAATGTAAAGGAGAGCGACCCACCAGGAGAGGTGGTAGCTGTTCTCAGCACCTTGGACAAAGATACCTCCAACATAAATCGACAAGTGAGCTACCACATCACTGGTAAGTCCCATCAGTTGGCTTTACCATGTGCTCTGCTTACTGAAGGTGGGCAATTACAAATAGCAGGAGGATGAAATGAGGGTGGGAGTGGTGGAACTTCCTGGTTCTGAGTGACAAATCTAATTCCATGGGGATTTTCTATGGTTGGTTCTTCACTCAACCATAGTCCACAACCCTCTTACAGCAGCTAGTGCAAAACTTAATATCACTTCCTGTTGTTTTAAAAAAAAGAAGTAAAATATTTTAATTGAAGGAATTAAAATGACAGTTCTTTTCAGTAAAAACGAAGTGTTTTCAAACTTGAAACCCCTTCTGAACTTTTAGCAATGCTAAAAAAACAATAGTCTGGCCCCATTAAGCTTTATGTGCAGCTTTCCTCTGGTTATAAGACTGTTGTCACACACACACATGAAAATTACAAGTCCCAGTTTGACCTTCTGCTGAGAAATTATACATTTATAACTCAGGATCAAAGAACATTTCTATTGACAGCCCTGTTTCCGTTTCTATTGAAGCCTGCCTGTCTTCCCCAATAGTAAGTTGCTGTTCACCAGAAAAACCAAGCTAGACAAATAAGGTCACAAAGAGTGCACAAAAATGTCACCATTGCTCTGCTAGGTTGCAGGATTCTCATCAGAGTGAACAGTCTGCCCTTGCTCAGAACAGCTTTCAGGGACAAAGAGGAAGGGTGGGTGGTATTAGGAAAGCCCTTCCTAAAAACCATGTGGGGCCTTAGAGCCAACACCTTGATGCTGAGACTTTAAGAGCCAAAACATAAGCCACATGCCAAAAGATTTTAAATAATCCATCAATACTTGTAGTCAGGTGGCTTTCCCTTAGAAAAAACACATTATTCGAAGTGAAAAATGAATTAATTAGGATGCCCTCAGGACACTGATTCTGCTTAAGTCTGTTAGTGGAAAAGTTAATTAATCACTGCCAAATAAGGTCTGTACTGGAGCAAACACTGGAAGCTTGAGATGGCCACACTTCCCTGAGGTTCTCTGTGTCTCTCAAGGAGCTGGCATTTCTCATGTAAGAACACTTTTTTTTGTATTTTGTGCTTTCTTTGAAACCTGACATCTTATTCCATAAAAAAAAAATGTGTATTTCAGCAGTTAAAACACAGAGCAGACAGAAAATAAGCAAGAATTCAACTTATTTGCATTCAGTTTTGGGAGGAAGACACTCTGAGGGACCCTTTCGTACTTGGAAGAATTGTTAAATACCCAGCCTCAATTATTTTTATATAGTCTCTGAAGTATCAGTAGATGATTTAAAGGACCATCCCATCAGCTTCACTAGTCATGAGTGCATCCCAGCTTAAAGCCCCTCATACTATTAGCAGAGCCAACCACCAGCTGATTTTAATTAGATTTAAGCTTTTCTCTTGATGCAGCACAAGTTGGCTATGTTGCCTCAGACTAACAAAGGAACATTAATCATTTTATGTAACAAAGGAATGGTGTGGGCTTGCCTGCATTGAAGGGGTTTAATAGAGAGGTTAATTTTACTCGTGTGCTGAAATAGTACTCGACTAGAGCACAATTGAATTCTAGCTAGTCGTGGCAGAAAGCGATATTACAGGGAGGACCCTGAGTCTTACAAGGCAGGGTTTCTCAGTACTACCACCAACACCTGGAGCTGGGTAAGTCTCTTGTAGGTAGGCTGTTCTTCATATATTGTAGGTTTATATATTGTGGTTATTTCACAGCCACACCCAGCCCCTCCAGTAGTATATAGACTCACTACTGTCCTGTGACAACCCAAATTATCTACACATGATAAAAAAAAAAAAAAAGAAAGAAAAATCCTATAGAAAGGAGGGAACCATTCACCTGGAGGAACAATGTGTCATCTAATATGTCTTGGGTCCAGTTATCCTGTGGTTTCTTACAGTGGAGAGGCCTTGGAACCAGTATAATGCTAAAAATTCTAGGACCCTATGCTTGCCTTTTCATAAAAGCAAGATAAAAAAGATTGATTATGAAGTGAACCAGTTCCATTCCTACAGTTCGCAATAGATATTTTCCTTATAGTTTTGTTTATGGTATCCAAGGATGAATTTAGGTGCATTCATTTGTTTGTTTTGCTCTTCACTCACTATGTGACCCACTCCAGCTTTGAACTCATGACCTTCCCATCTCAGCCTCCCAGTGTTGGCATTACAGGCATGTACCACCATACCAAGCTTCACATCCAAATGGTAAACAGCTTGTTTGAGGAAAGGGAACTCTGTGAATTGAGCAGCTGCAGACTCTTCAGAGCCCCACTAAAGGGGCAGGAGGGACAGGTGCTTCTAAGATGCTCATGCAATCCAAACCAAAGTGTATGTTGTTGATTAATGTGGAATAGTAAGCAGAGCTTAGCTGATGGATTCTTTTGGTAAAGTTTGTCTTTTAGCATTCCCATAGAGTGGGGTGTTGGGCTACACCCAGAGGAACCCAAGGCAATGGGGCTGTCCCAGCTTACTACTTGATCACGTCATCTATCCCCAGTTTTCCCCTTTATAACTTGAGCTTTTCTGGTGAAGCAGGGAGTTTTCCTCTTCTTGTCTGCTGCTGTATCCCTGCTGTCTAGAATAGTGGCCAACAGCAGAGGGTAAGTACTTACTGAATACCAAATAAATGGCCACCCCACTCTGGACTCTATTTCCTAACGGCTTTGGCCCAGCCTTCCTGGGTGTCAGAATTGACATCATTTCCCCCTTAGACAGGAGAGGTCAAGTTTCCTTCCCTCTTCATACCTCATGTCAAGCTGCTTTAGTCCCCATGCAGGTTCATGAAATGGAAAAGAAATCTGTTTGGGCCATTTTACTCCATCTCTTCTACTTTCCTTCCATTTTTACAACTTTTCTTTCCTCAATTAGATTTAATTACAATGCTTATCTTTAAGCTGTTTCTTAAATGACCTCATGTTAGGACTATTTAATAACTAATGGTTTGTCCTGTGTGATGAAAACCTTTCTCCCCAAACTCCAGTCCTCATGAGAAGACCTCAGCTGTATGATAAAGCGTTCATTAAAAGATTGCTTAAACGGCACTGGCTGCCTTTCCTTGATTGTATAATCAACTCAGCAGCTAATGAAATTGTCTTGGTAACAAGAACTACAGTGTAATACAGCCTCTCTTGAGATCCAGTGGAAAGACAATTGCATCATCCCGAGGAGCCAATTGATGGTTCACAGTTTGAATCTGATTATCTTTAAGGGAAACTAAACAAAAGATCACCCCCAGCTTCTCTAAGTGGATTTTATTCTCTTGGAAAGTTGCTGTTTTACTTTCCATACAAGACAAGCATATAAATATCATGCTTTTTTTCAGAAGAAATGAAGGGACTCTCCGCTCTTCTCAGTAGCGTGAGGATACAGTGTTAGGGACACCTGGATACCCCCATATGGACTCTCATGTGGGTGTCCACTGCAAGTCCTCAGAAGCTCTGTTTCCACCACAGGAGGGAACCCCCGAGGACGGTTTGCCCTGGGCATGGTGCAGAGTGAGTGGAAGGTCTATGTGAAGAGGCCTCTGGATCGAGAGGAACAAGACGTTTACTTCCTCAATATCACCGCCTCTGATGGACTCTTTGTCACACAGGCCATGGTGGAAGTGACTGTTAGTGATGTAAACGACAACAGCCCAATATGTGATCAGGTGAGCTTCTGGGATAAAAACTGCTTTATAAACCCCTCTTAATTCCTCTAAAATTAAATTCAAACCCATTGCACATTTCTTCCTAAAGCCAGACTAACATCTGCTCTTGTCTCAATTGAACATAAGAGGGAAAGAAGTAGAGTCTGGGATAAGATGTCCTAAATATGAAAGGAACCTAGATAGCCAACAGGATCATGCACCCAAGCCCTATGCCACTCACCAATTAGACAGAAATGATGAGCCTCCAAGTTAACTTTTGTGTAATTCATAGCCTCTCTTTAAATCACTGCATACGAAAGAAAACAGGACCCTATGTGGTGAGTTGACTGTTAGCAGATTACACAGCTGGCAGTGACAGCACGGTTGCTGAGTGAGGTCCCCAGGTCTGCAGTGAAGTCGCCTTTCCATTGCTGTGCAAATGCACAATGCTAACCCAAGAGCTATTGCATTTTTTCTTGCCAAAATTAAATGTTTGTTAATCTGTTTCCTAACCTGTGGACCAAGAGATAATATTTGTGTTCTGTATCTTAGAAAAGTGTTGTATGTAGACTTAATCTCACATACTAAGGCCAGGTGTTGCCCATGACTCTGCAAAGAGGAGAAAACAATCCCAAGAGCCCATTTGGTCTCAACAGAAAAATGTAGAGTCAGTGTGTCAGAGTGTCAAGTCTCACAGTGCAGTGATGCTCTCTGTTTTCTTCACCACTGTATTCTTACCAGGCATATCATCTATTCACTTTACATACAGTAAGTGCTCAATAAATATTTGTAAATGACTGTGTGCAGAAAATGTAAGGAAATGAATATTCTAAATTTTATTGCACACTGAAATATGTTCTCAGGCAAAGGAAAGAAACTTTAAAGAAATCTACTTAAATGGTAGCTACAAAATTTGTACCACAGGCAGTAATGACTTAGTTTAGTGTAACACTGTTGATGGAGGATATTGTACCACAGGCAGTAATGACTAACTCACTGTTGCTGACCTTTGCCCAGGTTGCATATTCAGCATCTCTTCCAGAAGACATTCCATCAAATAAAATCATTCTGAAGGTCAGCGCCAAGGATGCGGATATTGGATCCAATGGAGATATACGATATTCACTCTATGGATCTGGAAACACTGAATTTTTTCTAGATCCAGAAAGTGGTAAGGTGCTTTATTCTTTGGGGAAATGTCATTATTTATTCATGTCAGAGCTTATCCTCTCGTGTGGTCTCATCATGAGTAGACTCATCTAGAAGCTTGATATGAGGTTCTGCTGTGCTAGACTCTATGAAATAAGCATGTGTACAGATGTGGGCACTCTGGAACCCAGGAGCTTGATATAGTTAGAGCTGGGACTTTCCTCTCCTCCCACTTTTCCTTCCTTCCTTCATCCCTCCCTCCCTCCTTTCCTCCTTCTCTCCCTCCCTCCTTCCTTCTCTCCCTCCCTCCCTTCCTTCCTTCTATCTGCTTCTCTACATTCACTATCATTAAGTAAGCACATGCTTCTGTGAGTTAAGACCTGGCTCATGAAGAGTGGAAGAGGAATAGCATCACAAAAGTGGTCACCATACAAACTAAGGCATGATGCTTAGCAAGAAAAGTTCCTTTGTGGTAAAATCTCTTCTGTTCCCTTCTGATTCTTATTGGCACTATTGTCTGGTTTTTATTAGACATTCATGCCTAGTTTCTGCAAAGCTATGAGTCTCCAAATTTCCTTTCATAATCAGACAACAATTATAAGGTAAAAGGTTATGTAAACTAAAGTCAGATGCCTGAATTAAAGGCCAGAGCTGGTGGAAAAGTCATTTTCTATGGCAGTAAATTATTCCTGTGTTGTAGATTAGGTGGTTCATCTAGTAGAAATTTTTAAATGAAGTATAAAGAGCTTGCATATTTCCCAGTGCTGTATTTGTCCCAGTGAGCTAAGTCTTCAAAAATCACTGGCTTCCCCTTGCTCACTCCCATGGATCCTCCCAGGGAGCATGGACATAGTCCTTAACTCTCTGGGACCCATTGGAAGATGGACAACCTGTAACCACACTAACGAAAGGCATGGTGAGAGGACTACCCAGGAGAAATGCAAAGGAAGCCATACAGGACTACCACAGAAGTAGCTGGTACTCTGAGGAAAGGAGATTGGAAACTGAGGCAAGGTTCTAAGAGTTGAAGCAACACACTGCAGGTTCCAAGTCAGAGGAGAGAGAAGGAAGAAGCATCTCAGACAGACCATGGAAGGTCTGAGTGTCCTGAAATTCCCCTGGGAAGTTTTTGAATAAAAGGGGCAAACGACTCAGTGTGGCCTATGTTGGAGAACTGGCTATATGCATCAAGGAAACCATAGAAGGAACTGACTGATAACTCATGTGACTTATTGCAAATGTCACCAATGATATTTAAGAGTAGCAATGTTCCACAAGTCATACTTTGCCACAAATAGCAGCTATTCAGGCTTCTCACTTCATTTCTCATTTTCTTTTGACACTTAAGCAACAACAAAAATAATTTCCACAGATTATGAATAGACATATATATTCATAGATATGTGACATGAAGGTAAAAAGGAGACTAGTCTGGAGTAGGAAGGAGATGAGGATGTGGGGAGGTGGAGAAGAGGGTAACACGGAGGAAAAGACAAAGACAAATATTGCAAATTTTCTCTCGTGTGCAAAATCAGATCCAACTATCTGTATATGTACATGGTGTGACAGTAGAAGCAGAGACTGTTTGAAGAAAGAAAGGGGGTGGGAAAGAGAGATGGTAATGTGGGCTAAGTACATTACAACCCTGTTATTTTGTGTACCAAGCTTGAGCTTGTGGGGCTAGAACCGACATTAGTTTTCAAGATGCTGTGAAAAAAACCCTGGCAAAAGCAATGTAAGGAAGGAAGGGTTCTTCTTGGCTCATAGCTCTAGGGTAAAGTCCATCATGATGGAAGAGCCCCTGTGGCAGGAGCCCGGGATAACTTGTTGGTCAGATTGCTTCCACAGTCAGGAGACAGAGAAACAAATTCCAGCACTCTGGTCACTCTCTCCATTTACACAGACCGAGATTCCAGCGCAGGGAATGGAGCCTCCCATATTTAAGATGTTTTTTTATGCCTCAACCAGCCTATTCAAGAATATTACAGGAATCTTTAATTTAGATAATACATCTTTAATATTCCAGGAGCCTTGCCTCCTATTGATTTTGGGTAGGTCCTATCAAACTGACAACCACTGTTAATCATCACTCTAGAACTTTCTGGTTAAGCCAATCAATTTTGATGGTTTTATTTTCCTCTAAGAGATGGGATAAAAACAGCATTTTAAGAAACAGAATATTGTGCTCCTGGGCTTGTGGTTCATGGACACCAGAACAATTATATACCTGGAGTCATCCAGCTGGGAGGGCTCCCCCCATTTGCCAAAAGAGAGAACCTCAGGAAGCTTTGTAAAAGGATTAATTAATCTGAAGGTCAAGCGGTTGGTTTGCCATTGCATCTAAAATTCTGTGATATTTCCCTGATGCCTAAATGCCAAGGTCTTATGTCCTTGGTATTTCTCGTATTTAGAAATCTTCATAAAATTGATTTTCTGTTTTTTTATGAAAAGACCATTTTTGAAAAGCTAGACCAATCATGTTTCTATTGCTTTTCACAGGTGAGTTAAAAACCTTGGCCCTGTTGGACCGGGAGAGGGTCCCTGTATACAACCTGATTGCCAGGGCCACTGACGGGGGTGGCCGCTTCTGCCACGCCAATGTCCTCCTGCTCCTGGAAGATGTGAACGACAACCCCCCTGTGTTTTCTTCCAACCACTACACTGCATGTGTCTACGAGAATACGGCCACTAAGGCTCTGCTGACCAGAGTGCAAGCCATGGACCCCGATGTTGGTAAGTCAGCTCATCACCAGGCTTCTCCCACATTGGCACACTGTACCTAGGAGTAGGTTCTAGAAGCTTCTCCTGCTAGAACAGGTACAGTAAGCCAGGATTTCACTCCTGAGCGGATATGCCTCTTATATAGGAAGAACTCCACAACTTCTCCTCCTCCTTCTTCTACACACCGCCCAGATTCCTAGAAAGAGAATTTGGAATCCCTTGACCTTATAACTAAGGCTGTGGGGATAGTTTATATGCTCTGATCTTTTGATTTTGTGATTTTCACACACACACACACACTCACAAAAAAAAAAAAAACTCCAAAAACAATAACATTCTTACTTGCCTCTTCCTCCTAAATACAGTTAAAACACTGTGTTGTGTGAACTAGGTATTCTCGTAGTTCATTTCTATTTCTATGAAGACTCATGTCACAGCCCACGGAAATATGGCAGTATCTATTGTACTCCCCGGCAGTGCAAAGACCAATTATTAAATGTGTTACTAATTCAATGTGGAATTTTTTAAACTAGCATTTTCCAGAGTCCCTTCCTTCTGCCTGCCCTCCCCCTTTACTTACAAATAGGCACCACTAAGCAGAGTGAAGGTGGAGAGATAAGAAAGAACTAGAACTGAAGTTGTTAATAAAGTTTATGTTCAAAACTTTTTTGCATAATGAGATGATGAGTTGGGAGAGACCAGAGTTAATTGCGACGTAGACCTTCAAAGAATGCATAAGTTATCGAGGTGACTATATGATGGAATATAACTATGAAAGGGCATGCAAAGCCTTTTGCTTGTACGTTTTAAGAGCTGTAAATCAGAGAATGGAAATGATGGGGTGTGTCTGTTATGCTAAGCAGGCCTTTATATAATTCACTGTCTTACTGCTTAATTCTGAATTGATAGAAAAATTATTGGACTAATGGAAAAGCAAATACATGATAATTAGCTAAAAACAAACGTAGCACCCAGGGTCTCTTCATATTTTCCCCTTACAGAAATTAGAGGCTACAGTTGAGTTATTGCTCTTATCACATTAGCATAATTTTAAGGCAGAGACCAATCCTTTAAAAGCATGTATATTGTTGTGGAAAATGGCAAACAAAAAAGACTGTTTATTAGTATATAATTATGTAATAACGGCAAACATTTTTTTTTCAAACGAAGATTAGAAAACACTCTCTGGACTCTCATCTGAAGATTTTGGGGAAAGGGGACAGCGTTAATGCTAATGAGTCTTTTAACAATTTAAAAATTTGACTTGAAGGTGTGTAATTAGCCCATAGATAAAATTTCTAAAGCTGAAAGCCTTCAATTCTGCCACTCCTTTCCTTCAGGAAGTGACCAAATGTGCTCAAGAGAGTAGACATACAAGTCTGTTCACTGCACATGCTCTTTGGACAGTGTAAGGGTGGGCTGGGGTGGGATTGAGAGCTGATTTGTGTGATGTGATTAAGAACACAGTTAGCTAGGTGTCCTCCTTCTCTTCTGTCTGGTCAGTTAACCAGGTTGGCAGATGGGGTGGGAGGAAATCTAAATTCTGGTCACTTATCAGGACAGGGATGGAAAGACCTAGAAGAAAAATTGAAGGAGATCGTATTATATCTTTATCTTTGATTTTTCCACAATAAGTAGAAGGCTTCTTCTCAGAGCCTCACATGAAGACCAAGGACCTGGGTACCATAGACACCAGTGTAGGAAACATATGTGCCTGGCCATCAAGTCAGCCTTAGGAAACCTCCAGTATTGTACCAGACTCTTGTTCATTTTCTCAAAAGAACCATGACAGGCAGGGATGGCCAGTGTCTCAACAATTAAAGATGCATGCCACTTGTTCACTCTGGTAGCCTGAGTTCAAATCATGAAACACATGCAAAATCGGAAGGAGAGAACTTACTCCACAAAAGACTATGATAGATGGAGTAGAATAAATGAGTGTTTTAAGAAATATAAACAGAGTACCCACCATTGTCCATGCACCAAGCTGAGGAAGTATTAGTGGGGAATTTGATCAGAGTTCACAGCAGTCTGTCTGACCGGCCATCAGAAAATCTCTGTGTGTCATGACTGAGAGTTTAAGACATGGTCCTTAGTGACCCCAGTTGGACACTGGTCTCCAGGGTAAATTTCTCTCTTTCCTAAGATTAGTGGAAACACTGCATAATGAGTATCAGGAGGTTGTGATGGGGATTCACTATGGGGCCAAATTAGATGTACGGAAACTGAGTTGACACACAAAGCTATGAAGCAGAATCCAGCCCTCTAGTGTGTTTTGTTTTCTTTATACAAAGTGCTATACAGAGTTCTATTTAATTATTATTATACAGAAGTCAGGTTCTTGTTGGTTATTGTAATCTCTAGCTCTTTATAAATACTATAGTGCCGAGAAGACTGGAATCCCACACGTTCAGCTCCTACAGTGTGCTAAATAACAGCTGCTTCATGATAGGTAACCACAGATCCTCCTCTACAGACCAGCTCCCCACTAAGTGATGGTACTACCCAATCACAGTTGCAACCCATTCTCTAGAATAATAAAGAAATTTCTATCTTTCTTAAAGAAAATAATTCTAAAATAATTATAGATTCACAGGAATTTTTAACTTTCCCTCAGCCCAATCCCCAAGGGTAATATCCTGCCTAGCTACAGAATTGTTATTAAAATCACAAATCCGAGGTAGATATAATCCACTAGGCATACCCACCTTTCCTGGAAGTGAACATAGTTCCCATGTAACCGTCACTGTGTACCTTCACAAAGCCTTCAGTATCCTGAAGCAGCACAAGGCTCCCACAAACACCATCATGACCACACCCTCCTCCCTCCTAATTTCTATACACTGCCAAACATTTAGCCTTCTATCTTCTGTTTTATTATTTAAAATGTTATTAACCGAAATCAATCATTTGTACCCTTTTGAGGTTGGTATGTTTTCTCTTAGCATAATCTGCTTCAGGTTCATCCAAGTTATTGAATTGACTTCTAGTGACAAGTTATGAATCCATTTGGCTCAGGAGACTTCTGTTAATAATATTCCTTTACATGAAATGGCAAGCCAATTTTATTGTTTTAAGCTCATGAATTTTTGTGTCCTAAAGAGCTTTTGTTAAAGTCTTACCTTTGATATGTTTATATTAAAATGCAACCTTTGTAGGGAAGAGGGCGCATGTAACAAAAGAGTACCCATACAGAGAGTTTAATGTCTTCGTCAAGGAAGCTTGAGGGAGCCTTGCCCCTTCTGGCTGTGAGGGTACACAGAGGCAGTAGATTTGGAGATTCAGCCTCCTCAGATACCAGAGCCATTGGTACCTGATTTTAGACTTTCCAGCCCCCAGAACTATAACAGAATTTTATTACCCCTAAATTACTCATGTTAAATATTTTGTCATAACTGTCCAAATGAACTCTAACAACCATAATTTGTCTGCATTATATACTTGACCACTCTACTTTGTAGAACCATGACAAGATATTCATCTAAAATTTGATTCTACGAATTCCCGAGTTCAAAGACCTTGCTATGAATCCCCAAACCTTCTCTCTTTGGGTTTATCATTTTTAAACATATTATTTCCTTTTGTCAAATAAGTCCTTCCAATGAATCATTCATAATGAACCAAAAATAATGTTATAAGAATTTCTTCTATCAGCAATAAAACAGTAAGACAAGAAAATTTGCACCCATTTTATGAGTTCTAAGAAATAGCATGGTAACTGTCTAGATTTTAGAATTAAGTTCTTAGTTTTCCTGTAAAATGAAAATATCCTCAGCCCCATAAAGTAGTGACATGACTTCATGACCCCAAATTTATGAAATTTTAATAATCTTTCAGTAAAGACAGGGAGGTTTTGATCTTTTAATGCATTATCTCTTTAGAGTTAATATGCTAGATTTAGTAGATCTTGTGGATCTAAGGGGTTTGGTTTTTTCTGTTTTGTGTATTTTTGTTTTGTTTTGTTTTTCCAAAAACCAAGGAAAGCCAACTTTTATTCAAAAAGGAGAATTTTATTAGCATTTAAACAGAAACAAAACAAACAACAAAATGCAAAACAAAACAAAGCACAGAGCAGGAAAGCTATATAAGTCCCAGCAGTTCCCTGGAGGAGAATGGAAAAGAAAAAAACAGAAAAAGCACTAGCTACCTAAGTTAAGCCAGGACGGAGGTCAGCTGTCATAAGTTGGCAGACAGCCCCACAGTGAGAAATGGGTCTTTAGAGGGACAGTGAAGCTCAAAGTGTAGGAGAATGCATCCCTAGAAAAGAGATAAGAGAAAGAAAAGTAACACTTCTCCTATAATTCAGAAAAGCAAGCTGACTTACGAAGCTCCGTGGTTGCATGCCTGAAAAAAAGAGACTTTCCTGGGGGAGGGAATTTTGGGACGGAAGAATACACTAGCTAATTAAATGGATAATTATTCTGCCTATCAGAATTTCATTTTGGGAGGATTTTTGTTTGTTTTGTATTTTTTGTTTTGATTTGTTTTTTTCTTTATCAAAAGAGACAGTGTGAAGGATCAGAACAAAAAGCCTGTGACCATTTTAGGCAACATGGCATGAAAATAAAGTGTAAATTTGTAAAGGGTAAATATGCTACAGCCCATGGTTTATGAAAATGCCAATTTGTAGATACTGTGATGTGGGGAGGAATGTTTTTATTGTTATTAATAAAGAGCATAAAGAAAGAAATGTATTCTAATGAGCCAGTTGCTCCTTTCTTGTTACACAATGTCTATGAGATTTGGAACTTGAGAGATCTCAGAAGTGTACAGGCTCAGAGCACACCTCAGGTATTTTCCATCCAACTTAGCCAATACAAGCATCAGGGTAACAAGCACTGTAAACATGACAGCAAGACTTTCCAAGATGAGTTATATAGAGAGATAGTCCCCAAGCTACTGAAAGGTCATGGAGCAAGTCATAAATGTAGAGCCCCAGAACAAGTGGGACTTGCAAATAGTCTTCAGTCAGAACAGACTTAGGAAGACATATGGAGCATGAAAATGAAGCC